ACTGCTGCTGCTGCTACTGCTACTGCTGCTGTTGCTGCTGCTGCTACTGCTGCGTCCAGGTCAGGGGCAGCAGAGCGGTGAAGCTCACCGAATCAATCGATTGACAAGATGCCATCAAAACAACCTGCAGTGCTGGTGCGGCATCGTAGCCCAACCAGGCTCTAACTGTTTACTAAGACTGTTACTAACTGTTACTAACTGTTACTAAGTAAGACTGTTACTAACTGTTACTAACTGTTACTAAGACTAAGGCTGTAACTAAGTCTGTTTCACGTCGTCACCACGTATCGAGAAGCGAGAAGGTAACTTGTGGCTAGGTCGTCTGTAGTCCGACCAGGCTCCACGACTGTTTCACGTCGTAGGACGTGCCACGTAGCGAGAAGCGAGAAGGCAACCTCTGGCTAGCGGCATTGGTACTCTAGCCCTCAGCTTCCCGCCTCGTCAGTTAACAACCGCCCCTTATTTTTTCGTGTGTGTGTTGATACCCACGTATGTGCTTTTGTGTTCTTACCACCTGTCTCCAGTTGGTGCTTTACATCCATGCTTCTTCGTTGTGATCCACTTGGCGTCAATCCGTGTATCACTTTGTCTTGCACCCTGTTTACTACGATAGCTACATGCTACAAGTGGGTATTCAAGTACCCAGACCTTAAATCCTATTCACAGCTACAATGAAGTGACGTAATGTACTCAAGCCGGTAAAAGAACCTACCCAAATAGACATAAATTACATATAAATCTTTCATCTTCCCCTGCCTCCTCTCCTACCTCCTTCTCTCTCTCTCCCTCTCCCTCCATCTTCCCCTTCCCCTTTACTCTCCCTCTCCTCCTTCTCTCCCTCTTTCTTTCTCTCACCCCTTCCCTCTCTCCTCCTCCCTCTCACCTCTCTAGCTCTCTCTCCATCTGTGCTACCTAGCTAGGCACCTAGGATGTTCTGCCCTCACCACTCCCCTCTCTCTCATCTCTCCTTCCTCTCTCCTCCCTCCCTCCCTCTCTCCTCCCCTAACTCCCTCTGTCTCTCCCTCCCCCTCTCCCTCCGTGCTAGCTAGCTAGGCACCTACGTACCTCGCTGCAATGCCGCCGGGCTGTATGTCCTGCACGAAGATTCCCTCCCTTCCTTCCCTCTCCTCCTCCCACTCTCTCCTCCCTCCCCCTCCCTCTCCCTTCATGCTACCTAGGCACCTACCTCGCCGCGATCCCGCCTGGCTGTATGTCCTGCACGAAGATGCCCAGCTCCCCGCGGTGCTCCGACTTGAGTCCGACGACGCCGAAGCCGAGGCTGGTGTGGTCGGACTTGCTGAGCTGCACGCGCAGCACGTCGCGACCGTACGCGGCCGCCGCCACCGCCTTCTGGAACTCGACGCCGTACGACGGCTGAGTGACGACGAGCGGAGGCGACTGCTGCTGCCGGGGAGAAAAAGAGAGAGAGAGAGATGCGTGTGAGAGTCTGTGGGAGAGTTCCTTATAGGGATGCTAGCTGAGAAAGTAGACGCGACCGTACGCGGCCGCCGCCACAGCCTTCTGGAACTCGACGCCGTACGACGGCTGCGTGACGACGAGCGGAGGCGACTGCTGCTTGTCGAGAGAGAGAGAGAGAGAGAGATGCGTGTGAGAGTCTGTGGGAGAGTTCCTTATAGGGATGCTAGCTGGGAGAGAGAAACGTGTGAGACATTCGTTGGTCTACGTGGGAGAGTTCCTCACAGGGATGCTGGCCGGAAGAGTACCTCACAGAGACGTTGCCCAGTATGCCCGTACGGGGACATTCGTCTGGATAGTTCGGCTCTGGGATGTTGGCCAGGAGATTTCCTCCCTTAGACATTAGCGAGGAGACTTCCGTCTCGGGATTTAAGCAAGGAGAGTTTCTCACTGGGCCGTTAAGGAAGTTCTGCATCTGGCAATGCTAGCTGGGAGAGTTCAACCCTGGGAGACTTAGTTAGGAGACTTAGTTAGGAGACTTAGTTAGGAGACTTAGTTAGGAGACTTAGTTAGGTGACTTAGTTAGGAGACTTAGTTAGGAGACTTAGTTAGGAGACTTAGTTTGGAGACTTAGTTAGGAGACTTAGTTAGGAGACTTAGTTAGGAGACTTAGGAGACTTAGTTAGGAGACTTAGTTTGGAGACTTAGGATACTTCTGCACCAAAATGCGTGCGACCACTGAGATCTACCCCTCTATGATGTGGCGCCTTTTCTCGTTTCGGTTCGGGACTAACAGAGCGATTGCGATACATGTGTGAGATCTCTAAGTGAGTAGCAGGATGACAGAAAGCTGACAGGAGGTCACCCCTGATCGCGGCAGCATGCTGCATCCACAGATGTTCCGCGCATCATCGTTTTTTTCCAAGGTTGCCCCGATCTACCGCTAAAGCCAAGCTGGTGTGGTGCAGTCGAATCACTTTCACAAACAGATAGAGTGGCATACCCTTAAAATCATCGCAGTGGCTACGGGTACGGTAGCCGTCGGTCGTTGAAGCCCCTTTTCGGCGTTAGGGTTAGGGTTAGGGTTAGGATTAGGGTTAGGTTTAGGGTTATGGTTAGGTTTAAGGTTAGGGTTCTAGCTCATCTAAACTCTCAAATCGTGAATTTATTTCCCAAGGCGTTATTTCGAAATCTGGCGCCACCGCCGCCATCTTTGTCTCGTTAAGTATGAAAGCGAATAGACTCCCGTACCCGTAGCCTCGAGACATTAAGATACAGCTACCGTACCCGTAGCCACTGCCTAAAATCATTAGTCATTCGCCCTCATAGTCTCACTGACTTAGACTGCTCTATGAACGTACAGTCTCATGAACTTCTGCCCGAAAATTTTTCCCATTTTTATTTATTATTTATTTTTTATTTTATAATTTCTATTTTTCAACTGTCGCCATTCCTCCTCACCTGCTGCTGTCGACGTTCGGGCGACTGTGCTGCCCTCTGTGGGGTCGTCAAGCGGTCCTTGCGCTGCGAGGTGTCGCCGTCGTTGTAGCCATCGTCGGTGGAGGGAGTAGTGCTGGCTATCACGGGTGACAGGATGAGCTCACCGGTGGGAGAGATGTCGAAATCCTCCGGGTTGAGGCTCGGCACTCTCGTCACCTGTCTCTTCAGCTCCTGCACAGACTCCTGTAGCGGAGACAACGATCGTGAGAACCACAGTCACACAAACTATCGTCAGTTCGTGTGTACATCATATGTGAGACATCGTATACATTGTACGAAATTGTAAACATCGTGAATAGATCGAGAGATCATAAAAATATCTTCAGTTCCTGCACGGACTCCTGTAGCGTAGACAACGATCGTGAGAGCCACAGTCACACAAACTATCGTCAGTTCGTGTGTACATCATATGTGAGACATCGATACATTGTACGAAATTGTAAACATCGTGAATAGATCGAGAGATCATAAAAATATCTTCAGTTCCTGCACGGACTCCTGTAGCGTACAGAATGATTAAATGAACCACAGTCACACAAACTATCGTCAGTTCAGGTGTACATCGTATACATGTGAGATATCGTATACATTGTACGAGATTGTAAACATCGTGAATGGATCGAGAGATCATAAAAATCTCTTCAGCTCCTGCACAGACTCCTGTAGCGTACGGAATGATCGAATGAACCACAGTCACACAAACTATCGTCAGTTCGTGTGTACATCATATGTGAGACATCGTATACATTGTACGACATTGTAAACATCGTGAATGGATCGAGAGATCATAAAAATCTCTTCAGCTCCTGCACAGACTCCTATAGCGTACGGAATGATCGAATAAACCACGCTCAGTCCGTGTGTATGTCGTATATGCAAGAAACATAAAGTTACAATATCATAGTCAGTTCGTGTATATATCGTACGTAAGAAACATTAAGAATGGTTACAATATCTCACAGAACGATCGCACGAACTATAGTCAGTACGTGTGTATATCGTACGTAAGAAACGTGAATAGTTACGATATCATAAGTCTAGGTTGTCGTGTAACACCCTTTCTTTATGATAGTCGTAACGTAGCTCGTCATATGATAGTAGCAGATCTCTATTATGCTTCCGACAATGGACCACGTTAAATATGGTACTTCGGACCATTTGACTGGGTGGGTGACCTCACGTCCTAGAGGCACTAGTAAAGGCAATGATTTTTCAACCAAAGAAAAATTTCATGAAGGCATCAATCCTACCACCTCAGACATGACACTCAACGACCCCAGACATAGTCTAGGGACTGAATGTCGAGCTAGGGGACAAACTAGTTAAGAAGGCATCAATGCAAGATGGTAGACACTCACTAAACCAAATGATGAACTGGTCACAGCATTGGCTGTAATACAAGATGTCATGATACCAATTAACTGCTGTTGTTGGAAAGGTCAGTCAATGGCTGATGCCTTATATCTCATCCTTTATAATATATATATATATATATATATTATATATATCTTTTATAGTCATCCCGTATCATCTCATCTCGTCTCTTAATTACATCGTGTAGCCTAATGTTAAGTCAAGTGGAATGCGCACAACACTGCATCTCACGAACACAGTGCAGATTTCGTCATCCACCCATGATGACCCCCAGCGCCACTAAGGGTAAGTCAGTAGATCACTGGCCTGTGGGGACGTTACCTGCAGAGTTATGATCTGTCTGAAGATGGGGCTCTCGAGCACGGAGATTAGCGTGTTGAGGTCCTCGTCAAGCCGCGGATCTCCCGAGTCCTTCAGCTTCACCTGGATCTTCTCCAGCAGCTGCAGCGCCCGGCGCGTATCTGCAACGAGACGACGAGAGCGTTAGGTGAAGCCATCGCGCGTTTTTGTAACGGAAATGTTGGGTTTTTAGAAGCTTTGAGATTTGATGCAGCAGCCGATGATCATTGATAGTCATAATCACAATCGATCATCGATCATTGATGAAGCCCGACACGTTTCTGCAAGGGAGGACGACGGAGGTGTTCGATGAAGGATGAAGCCATAACGCGTTTTTAACGGATATGTCGGATACGTTTTTAGAAGCTTTTAGATTTTAAAACGCTGTGCAGCCGATGATGATCACGATCATGATCGATGATCAATGAAGCCAGAGGCGTATCAGTAACGTGACGCTGACGAAGGCATTCGATGAAGCCATCGCGCGTTTTTTGAACGGAAATTTCGGAGAGGTTTTTAGGATCTTTCCGATTTAACGCAACGCTGACCTCCATCGGCAGTCGTTTGACGGAAAGATGAACATTGCAAACCCGTCATTTTGTCTATGTTGTAGATCGGAGTACGGCTCAACTTATACAACTCAAATTATTTGCTGGTTGCGAGCAAGGGCGTCGGAAATGCCGCGGCAGCCGCGGCACTTTTTTCAGGCCATAAATTTTCCGTAACCAAAATCTTTAAATAATTTATACCGTCTTTTGGCCGGTACATATATCATGTATATACGTGTAATCTAGGTCAGATGAGGTCAGGTCAGGGGCGTGT